TTTTGACTGTTACTAATGTTTTATATAAATCCATCATATCCCCCAATAACACCTGTCAAACTGACCTGAATTGAGATATAGCATATATTTTTCTTGAATATCTCAGAAGTCACTCAAACAAATTTTTAGGTAATATGTTTGGATGCTCACTGACTGGAGGTCACATTTTATTTTAAACTTTTTTAATCATATAGAATTTAATAAAAGTAAATGACCCTTCATATCCAGGGGTTAGATTAGTTAGATTAGATGAGTAATGAAGAATAACCTCTAAAAGTAAAATACAATAAAGTGAGACAGCCTTGAGTCTCACTTTCAGCAGGGCCCAGTGTGTCAGACTGATATTAGGTGAAACGGGTGAATTTAAGCCCATAAATTATGGCAGCTCCGTCAGTAAATCAGGGTAGCGTGGTTGGTTTGAGGCATCACACATGTGAAGTGAAAACGATGGTGTTAGTCATGGGCAGTAAAGTGTGTGTGTCAGACAGGGAGAGGAGAAGAAGACAGGGACCGAGCTGGTGGTTGTGAAGCTGGAGGTCAATCAGCTACACCGTGCAAATCACATATAGGCTGGTGATTGGTTGGCCAGTCTGTCACTCACCGAGGGGCAGCTGGTGATCGGTACACACTGTTTGGGCCGACACTCAACGCTTCCTTTAACACAGGCACAAAGAGTGCAGTTAACTGACGACCACATGTCTCCCTCCTGCCAGAGAGAAGAAACAGAACACAGAACACATTATTCCATCCATCCATCGAGCACTTCATCATTCACTTATCCATATGTCCATCTGTCATCCATTCATGCATCTGTCATGTTTCCTTCTCTCCACCCATCCATTCCTCCAGCATTTCCTGTGCTCTCTCTCACCCTGTAGATCTTGTTCCGGACTCTGCAGTACTTCACCTCCTCCACCTTCACATAGGACAGACACTCCTGGCAGCACTGCTCGCCCTGGCAGCTCCCCGGCTGTGAGCACCGCCTCTTGCACACCACTGTTGAATCCTGGGAAGAAGAAGGAAACGGCCATGGAGGGCATTTATAAAAATAATTTTAAAATCAATAACTATAAAGAAGCTGTGTAATAATTTGTGATAGAAACATTTGAGTTGAATTAATAATTATGAGCAGGATCCATAATGGATCCAACCGGCATCTGCTGCCTATGCAGTCCAGTACCTTGCAGGTGCAGGTGGTGCAGTTGTCGTGTATGAAGGAAGTGTTGTTCTCATAAACCTCGCTATGGAACAGACAACTTCCTAAAGACAGGTCGAACACCTTCCTCTGACCTGGAGGACGAGGAGGGACGTGGATGGTTTCAAGTTCATATAAAGTTAACAGAGACAGGTGAAGAGAGCAGGACAGGTGTAACTTTGTTAAGAATTCAAGGAACAGTTAAATGTCTGCGAGGAAACACTACAAAGAACTGCACCAATGATTAAAGATACTGCTTTAAGGGGTTTTAAATACTTTATATTACTACACAATTCACTCAGTAAATATGATATTATATAAAATGTATATGGTAAGAACAAGTCAAATCAGACAGGGTTATGTAGAGCCTCTGGTGAGAGGGCAGTGACTTGCCCTCCTCATCTCAAGTGGCACAAATCTGGACAAACTAACTTGGCCTACAGTATAGAAACGTCTTCCACATTACACTCAAAATATTTTCAGGAAAAAAAGTTACGACATAAAATTTTGATTTTGCAGAAACTGCCAGTCATATTATTATTTAATGAATGCATTCTTTTCTGAGAAAAGAATGTAATACTCTGAGACAAAGTCATAATATTGTGAGGATAAAGTTAAAATTTTGAACATTTGTAATATTTTGACAAAATAAAAATCATTACTCTCAAAATTTTACTTTTTTCTTCCTACAACTTTTCCTTGTATCATTACAATTTTTTTTCCTAAAATATCACTTAATCCAGGATCGCTCTAATATGCCATCACCAGCCTCGTGACTGGTGACAGGTCAGAAAGGTCATTGCTGGTTTTTACCGCGACATCTGGGACAGCACTGCCCCGCTGCGGTGTGGGTTAGGTGGGAGGGGCAGGAAAGGACAGGACACACCTCCCTCATGCAGAGAGTCCGCCCTCCCTGAAACGACAAAATGCATACATGTTTATATGTTTGGTTGTTTTACGGTAACTGAAGGAGTCATGTTTGAAGATCGAGTTAATATTTAGGAAAGTTTTTTGGTGCATTACATAAAAGCCAGTTCACTGCATAACTTTTATGTGAAATAGAAATAATTCACCTCAGTGGTCAGTTTATTAGGAACACCAAGCTCAAACTGAGTCAGTCTAATCCAACAGTCCTGCAGCGAATCCTCCTTCACTAAGGTGACAATGTTCAGTTTGTGTTCAAACTGTTTCAGAGGTGTTGGTCCACCTGTGTGTTCACTATGGAGGCTGCAGTTCATGCTGCTGTTCAGCTACACATAGAGCTGGTTCTGTTATTCAGCCCTGCCTCACAGAAACACATGTCAGTGTGATGCAGCACAATTCAACAGCACCACAAACTACAGACTCCACAATGGTCAAACCCACCTACTGTAGCTAGGTGTACCAAAAAAACCATCAAGTATAATGCAACTAAAATACCTGGATAAAATGTTTGAATGTTTAACAGTGTCCATGTAAACACACTGTAGAAATAACCATTTTATCAGTTAGGTGGAATAAAATGGAATAAAAGTAAAATATCATGTCACCTTATTCTTTTTTCATATGCATATCATTGTTTGTCTGTATGTTCAGAGAGCCAGAGGTGGACATAACCTCTGCATCAGCAAGGCAAGCTGTGTATATGTGTAAATGTGGCCAAAAGCTGGCTCCAACTAGGTGTCAGCACATTATCATCATCATCATCATCATCATGAACTTTATTTATATAGCACATTTAACACAGCTAAAGCTGACCAAAGTGCTTAACACAACATCCACAACACCCCTTAAAAAACAACATAAACGAACAGCAAAACAAAAACATCATACATAAAACAACACCCTATCATAAATCACAAGCTCAACAAGACACAGGATCATACTGGTTCGAATGCCAGACGGTACAAATGAGTCTTCAAATAGGTTTTAAAAGTGGACAACGAGGGGGCCTGTCTAATTTAAAGGGGCAATGCATTTCACAACTTAGGCGCCCCCACAGAAAAAGCTCTGTCCCCCCTAGATCTTCGCCTAGCCCTCAGTACCTCCAAGAGCAGCTGGTCGGCCGATCTGAGGCACCGGGAGGGGCTATAGGGATGTGTTCATGGATGCACCTGCAGGGTTTGTTTAAGGGGGGAGGAGGGGGAGAGAGGGGGAGCCACAAAACCAACATTTTGTGGCTCCAGGAGATTTGGAAACTAAGAAAATCTAACTTACTGACAAATCCCCCTTACTGAATTATTGAATGCAAGTCTGTGTGTGTGTGTGTGTGTGTACTCACGGTGCAGGTACACCTAATGCAGGGTTTGCCCTCTGGACTAAACTCCTCCTTCTCTTTGTAAAGACGACCCTCAAAGATACAACCTGCAGGCAGCAGAGACGCATCATACATCAGACTGTTTAGTTCCCCTTCACCTACCCCTTGTTGCACCCTTCCGTCTTTTTACCATAAGTACCAAAATGATCTTGTGTTGGAAAATGAGAATTTACAAATTGGCCAATGCCTGTTGCTAAAAATTGCAATATTCACACTGAAGCGTTCATATTTAAGAGGAAGTAAATGACAAACATTTCATCTGTTTCTTTACTTTAACTGGTTTCAAACCAGATTTCAACAGTTGGTTGAAACCAACATCAAACTGAAACATCAGAAGGATTTTTATAGAATTCTGGTGAAAATTCTTCACAACCCAGGATTTTCCTCTGTTTTCAGAGCAGTGGGAGAACGATGACTTTGAGTCATGAACTGAACCCTATCATGTTCTTTCTGAGGCATCACATGAAATCTGCAGCTCAGTGCCTTTCTCCAGAAGGTACAGAGGTTTTAAAATAAAAATGAGAACATTCTAAATATTGTTGCATTAGGTATGGAAACATAAAGAAACCTTGATTCAGATGGAGTTTCTACTCACTGGGGCAGGTGGGGCAGCACTTCTTCGGGTGGATTTTGGGGTTCTTGCAGTGGACAACACACTGCACTTCAGCCTCGGTGATGACACCTTCCTGCCATGACCGGAGGGAAATTGTTTCTTTTTAAAAATGTAAATATGACTTTTTTCATGCTCCATGTTTTCTCCCTTCCCTCTCTGGTCTTTCCACTCTGTCATTTTGCTTCATAGCTCAGTTTCTATCCATTCCTCCTGTTTTTCTTTCTCTCCTCTTCATCTCTCCTTGCTTTCTTTCACACTTGCCTACTCTCTCCCTTCCCCTTTTCTTCCTACCCTCCTTTTTATTCCTTCTTTCCTTCCTTTCCTCATTTTCTCCCTCCTTCTATCTGTTTCTTTCTTCTTGCTCTTTGGTTCTACTTTCTTCTTCTTATCGTTTCTTCCACCTCTTGTACTGTCTTTGTTCTTCTCTTTTATCCTTCCCTCTCTTCTTCCTGCAGCCCTGCCTCCCTCTAACATCTATTTTGTTTCAGCATGGCATCAGAACTGAGAACAACTCTTTCCGCCTGCTTCACCTGCCAACTGCTTTCACAGTGATTTTACATCGACTTGCATTCATTTCCTGGAGACTAACCCTACACTTAACCATGACTTGCCTGACCCCCACACTAGCTTTAAACCAAGTCATCAAATTCAATGCTTTAGGTGCTACACACACCTGACAGCGTCTGGTTTTGCAGGGTTTGGTGGAGGTGGTCCATGATGCTGAGCTGTTGTAGGACTGTCCATCCAACATGCACCCTAAGAAAGAGAGGACCAGGATATTATCAGGTCAAAACTTGGCATGATTTTACTCTTAATTCTCAGGTCAAGTCAAGTCTGTTACTGGTTGAGTCCAAGATCAGCCCTCGTTCTGGTGGCTTAGGTCAGACTTAAGTCCAGATCTCAAATGTCTGCAGCTCTGTAAGGAATCACACTGCTTCTTTGTCTTGTTAAAGTTACATTTATAAAGTACCTTCCCCCCAAACTGAGACACTGGTTGCAGTGTGTTTGGACATAATAGCTGCTCAGCGACCCATCCGCTCAGTACTAAATGAATAGCCTATTCATTTCATCCCATTTACAGTAAGTGGTCTCAGATCAATGTTTAACTTTCCATACAATGAAACCCGATCACAGCCATTGATCTGCGCTCTTCAGTGTAAACCAAACCCTCAGACACGGTTCCACTGCAGAGGAGTTTACAGTATCTGGGAGAAAAAGGATCAAATCAGGGAACAAGAAGTCCCACAGAGACACACATCCTGTTCATACACTCAGTCCTCACTAACACAGACTGATGTGACAATGCACTGTCCAAATGCTAACAGAGCAGCAAAATAGTCCCCAGTAAATGCATCACTTCCTGCTGTTTGTTTGACCAACTGTTTTAGACCATCGCTGAACCTTTTTAAAAAACGAAACTGTGCATTTAGGACCAGTTTTAAAGAATAACATCAGGAGGAACCAGTGGGCTCAGAGCTCAGAGCCATGCAAGATGGTGCTGAGGACAAACAAACTACAGGTCTGAGTCTGCACACAGGACATGGTAACAATAGGTCAGATATAGAATAACATCATCCTAATCCTTTAAAGGTACTTTCTGAAAACTATCAGAGTACAAATGATAAAGCAGAAATATGGTGCTTTACTGTTTTCTATACTGAACCACATGTGTTTAGTTTCAGCATTTTTCAAATGGGGTTCTGCACCGTCTTGGTGAGGAAAACACAGCTGTACTTGTAGGCACAATAATAACTACATTATGAGAGTCTGGTAGTGTATTGATCAAATTAGTTAAATGCAAACGGGGGTGTGAAAGACTAAAGAAACCACAAATCAGGGTAACAAATACATATATATAAAAATATTTACAGAAATCTTTGGACACTATTATTCCACTATTATTATTATTCCAGAAATTTGATATAATATGTAATTTTGCACCCAGACAACTGATGCAGTCTGGTTGCGAGGTTCTTTAACTGTGTGTATCATTTCATAAAAAAAGTGCTGATATGACCAGGACAGTTTTACAGTGTGTGGTTAGACTATAACTTTGTGACAATATTAAGATTAGCTTTAAGATTGAACTTCACTGATATGATTTCTCTCACTGTTTTCACCTGCACACACACACATTTATTTGACTGGCATATACAGTGAGGAACAGAAGTATTTGAACACCCTGCGATTTTGCAAGTTCTCCCACTTAGAAATCATGAAGGGGTCTGAAATTCACATTGTAGGTGCATTCCCACTCTGAGAGACAGAATT